GAGACAATTAACATGGCAGGATATTATAAGTCCAAAAACAGTACGATATAAGTCTAATTCGGATCGAAAGTTGATCTACGTCGAACAAACAAAAGCATTCGTTTGAACTAAAAACTAGTGACTACAAATACTGACCTATTAAAGTTTGAGGACCAAAAACTCCACATAACATAACATCACGCCTTTATCCCCGAAGGGGTAGGCAGAGGTGCATATTATGCCACTGTAGAGGTATAATGTAACAGCCCTCTTTTCAATATTTTTGTTATGAGTCCAATATAATTGGGGGTGAGCCTATTGCCATATACCGGACACAATTCCAGACTCCGTGCTAACACTGAGATTTTTTTTAAAACCCTGTAATACTTAGTCCTACCCGGGAATTCAACCCGAGACCTCTTGCCCGGTAGTCGCACTTGCGACCACTTGGCCAATGAGGCAGTCAAAGTCAAAAACTCCACTAGGAGTATTAAATTTTAGCAATTAAAGGGCGCTGCCGCGTGCGTAGCCTTTCTATGTTTTGATCTCTCGACGGCTTTCCAATGAGTGTGCCGAACGCTTTGAACACTGAAAGGGTTATCCGCGTTACTCCACGGTGCTTTTATATTTTTATCAACGTCAAATGAATTGGTCCAATGTGACTACAAAAAATCCATTTGCAAAATGTCTCGCTGGATTTATTCTACGCAAACATTAAATACTCTTTTTATGTCGGCACTTTGAGGGTATAAAAGGGCCCGCTTGATGATGTAGTTAATTAATATTGCCTTTTGCGCTGAAAGAGAATTCTTTGAATATTTCTCTAGACTCATAGAGGTTTCGAGAGGAAGCCACCCGATTTAAGAATGTTGGAAAATGTTTTAAATATTATTTTGTTCTACCGACTTGTTTACATAATGGGTGGTATTACGCAAATATTTATATAGAGTAGCTAAATTATTCTGAAATATATGTTTTGTATGTTTTTTTAAGGGGTGGAATCATCGAATGACTGCTCCCGCCTGGGTAACGCGGGAGGGAGTGTCAGACTCTTACTGACTAAAAACTATCCCGTTCCTTCTCCAGCGCTTCGAGCCGGAGCCCCGGTGATCTGTTAGGTTCTCCGCGACAATTTTGTATGGTAGCTGATTACTTAATTATATTTTATTTTATTGAATGCTATTCTAAGTTATTACAATCTAAAAGCATTTTTCTTCAATCCATAAGAAAACTTCATTTAAGTTCTATTAGAATTAATTTCACAGAGTTGAGAAACTATTTTCTTAGAACTAATAGTGAAGATAATTTAATAGTACTTCATGATATCTATAAATGCAGTCGTCCAGTGTGTCTGTCTAGACATCATAAACGGCAGCTTTACTATCATGTCTGCTTACACTCATAACTGTCCGTTACCTGTTACTTGGAAATGTTTATAAATAAATAATAAGCGGTTGTTTGTCCAGTGTCTACGGGCTTAAGTAAAATCGTTGAGTATTTTTCCGTTCAAAATATTATGAGTAATACCGTCTTTACTGTAGGTACAGATAGTGAAGTGTCTTATAAAGATTTTTATTTATTCTGAAATAGGGGACTGTCAGTCTCTTATGTTTTGTAAAATATCGTATTGTTTATTATTATCATGAGATGTTTCTATGCGTATCTGAATATTCTGTTTTCTTTTTACTGCGACAAAATTTATAATCATAATTAAACAACCGACTCAACGCAACCACAAACAAAACTCCGTAAAAACAAAAACAAAACTAAAAACAAATTCATCTGACTAACTCCTAGATACATTTTAGTCTCGAAACGTTACAGTGTAAGCTACAATAGTTTGGTATTATGAAGCGTTCTATGTTTACGCAACGAAAGCTTGCACTTTGTGAAATGAGAGCGAGTTCACAACAAAGGGTTGGGAAACGCAAACCCGAATGTCGTAAACGTCGCGTTAAGGTTCGTACACACTGAGGGCTTAGCACGACTTTATTTTACATTTAACGAGATCGAAACGGTTCCGTGTCCGGTGCTCTGATTGGCCTGCTCCAATGAACCAACCAATCAGAGAGCTAAAACGAGGGATTCTAGTACGAAAACAAACTCACACTAGGCCCTCTGCACTACGCATCACTGAAAAGCTAAAGCCTATAGCTCAAACAGATTCATTGGACTCTGATTACCTAATTGAAACTGTACTATCAATGATGTAAGTCTATTTATTAGGATGATGCTTTGATCTATTTTATGCTGTGGCTCATGGAAGTAAGATTTAATATTGGTAAAATATAAGATTATGTAAATATATAAGTATATAATGTATATTGAATTTATTGCGCGCACGTTGCTTATAATAACGGGTAGGTCCCTTTGTGATTTGAAAGTAGTAGAGCTTTTTTCAACATTTTACGTGAGCAAATTGTTTTTTTAAATTCATTTAGTTATGTCTCACAATAGTTATTATACGAATATATTGTTTGTTGTATTGTCAGTTAACATTAAAAGTTTTCTATTGAAAGTCTTTCGGAATATTAAAATATACAACACTTGTACCTATTCAATATTTTCCCTAATAATTTTGTTTCTTTAAATGCGAAGTTTTTTTTTAAACAAAAAAATCGCGCAATTATGTTTCACTGGTCTGCCTTCAGCCTCATTCCATACTATAGAGTTTTAGGCTTTGACAACCCACACGATGTCCTAGATAAACAGATTCCCTCACATTTACTGAATATTACGATCATATTAGAATGCTATTTATATATCAAAGAATAAACAATATTCAAATGGTTTCTGCTATTTTAAGATATTAATGAAGTTTTAGTAGCTATTGCCCGCGACTTCGACCGCGTAGAATATGATTCAAGAATCATATTGTACGTCAATCATTTATCTCATGAGAGCATTTAATCGGGATAAATAGCAGGAATAAATAGTGTGTCATATTACCTATTGTACGAGTATTATTGTGACTGTTATTGATGTGACATGTTACATTGATTTATTATTGACTAGCTTTCACCTACGGCTTTGCCAGCGTATTCCTGATGTCCTATCACCTAAGTCAGCCCCTACCCTGCCTGTATATTAAATTTCATCAAAATTCGTTCAGTAGTTTCAGCGTGATTGACGGACAAACATCCAAACATACATAGTACATTCAAACATCTAAACAAAGAAACCTTCACATTCATAATATTAGTGTGATGTTTTAAATTTGTAAATGAGTAAAAGAACAGTATTTTTTTAAATAAAAAGATATTGTATAACATCTAGAACATATTTTAGTGTGTTAGGGGATTTTTAAATATATTTCTTATACATAACACAAGTTCTAATATTTTTATTACTTATTCTGGTTTTGGGAGAATTAATAATTTTTTTGTTATGTATTTTCCTATAGTATGTTAGGGGATTTTTAAGTGTATAAGACATACAAGTAATAAAAATATTAGGACTTGTGTTCTTGATAATTTTAAAAACAAATTTTATTTTGAATATTTTCTTTTTTTTATTGTTTTAGTTTAACTTCAATATGTTAGATGTTGATTTATTAGGAATTTGATGATTAAATTAACTTTACCTTAAAAAATGGGCACAGCAACATTTCTTAAAATAAAGTTACCTAGTACGGGATCCACTTAGCTTTAAGTCTACTGTAAGCTGTAACACCTTATTCACTTTATGGTATGCAACTAAATGAATATAAATATAATTATGAATAATAATACTTATGTAACTGTGATGCATAATAAGTTTAAAAATAAAGCTGTCGAGTTTATCGACCTTTTACTTAAAGCAACAAGTAGTCATTTACTATTAAAATACAAAAGTTTTGTTTGAACAACAATGTCCATAAAAACATTTAAAAATCTCTTTCTTCTCTTGGGTTTAGACCGTGTAGTCTAGAATCAGTATTTAAGTTTGATAGAGATTTGATGAGACCGAAAAATAAGTACATGGCAAGGCATTCTTATGCTAGCTTAAAAGGAGGCGGAGCGCGCGAGGAAGCCAAGCGCTGCATCTTCACAGGTCAGTCGTGCGTCACAAAGGACTCTCCGGGCGTCGGGGATCGCGTGATGATCACCGGCCATCATAAGCACGGGCCTGCGGATGGCAAGCATGGGTAGCTCGCCGCCCGACCAGACCCGAGCGTAAGGCGCGTCGCGTTTTGCACGCGCCTCAAAGAGCCATCAGACCACCACGGATAGGGCCCAATAGCGCTGATGCCGATACAGAACCTCGGAGAACGTAAACCGTCACCGGGGCTCCTGCTCGAAGTGCAGGAGTAGGAATGGGGTAATTTTTGTTTTTTTAACCCCTCTGTGGTTCGAAACTAGTACTTAGCTTTTCTCAGTATATTCACGTGAGTAACCCGTGATTTTAAGTTAATAGTATGTCTTACGATAGTTATTATAAAAACCGATGTTAAGATTATTATGTTACTAACAATAATGGATTCTGACAATATAGTAATCTGACAATAAATTCATTGATTGATTGATTGAAATGCAAGTGTCAAAAAGTAACAACATCACTTAACATCGAATAATATTACAGGAATACGACATCAATCGTTCTAAAATAAAATGAAGCGCAGTTAGTCAGTTGTTTACTCTCCCACGGTAATTTTAGGAGTCAACTCAGGGAAGTAACCTGGTGTAGTGCCCCGGGCGATGAGCGAACAATCTGTCACTACAAAGTAATGTAGCAATTTTTGAACCCATTTTAAACAAGCTACCAAATGACACTTCTCCCCTTTTTTCTAAATAGGATGGTAAAATGCTTGGTAATGTTTTTGTATTTTCGATTCTAATAAAAATTTATTTAGATTGTATTTTTTTTTGTTTGGCAAACGGTTTGGAGATTGTAAACTAATGAGGAAACTTTTTTCAAAACGAAGAAACAACGAATGGTATTTATTTTCCTACGATTATGAAATAATCTAGAGAATTTATCACAAAACTTTGATTTTCCGCGCCGATAAATACATTATTGGAATGAATAAAAATCCAGCTTACCAATAAAATTGACATGTAATACAGCCAGTATGAGAAGGCGCGCCAGCGGGCCGCCCTGCGCATGCGACGCCATCTTGCTTCAACGTGTCACTGCTCGGTGCTGCCACCTACCGCCGCTATCCAACCTCGACACCCACTTTAATCTTCTCATTTTGAACACTACCGTCTACAATCCGACATGTTTTGACTGGCCAGTTTTATCTGTGAACAATAAGTTAAATATAAATAAACTATTGAATCAGAATTTAGGGTCAACTTACATAAATGTAATAGGATGATTAAGATGGGCAAGCTTTATTATTAAACTGTTTATAATATAAAGAGGATAAATTGTACTTCTAATAATTGATCCCATATATTTGTGAACTGCTGTTTCCTAAAAATAAATATTTTGGTTGTTTCAAATTTAAATTTTTAATTAATATCGAAATGTATTACCTAATAAGATTTAATTGATGGTTACAATATTTCAGTATATGTATATATCTTGTTAAGAAAAAACAATAAATGCTCAAAATGAATCAACAATTTTTTCGGTTTCGTTCGTCTATTTCAACAAATACCGTGTAAAAAATTTGAACTTTTTTCATATTCATCAAAATATTTGCTCATTGCCGTCGATCTGTGAACAAATTCTATCAGCGCAGTGTTTTATTCATCAAAAACGAAATAAAAATAAAACCTAACCTAACAATAAATTCCGGTATCTACGCACGAACTCGCAGGGATGGTAAAATATTCGTATTTTTATTCACATTCGGTGGAGCACCAGAGAAACAGTCGAACGTTATCTAAAATATGAGTGAATGTGTACGTGCGGTCGGTTCTAAAAGAATTTGGTATCAAAGATTCGTTCGAGGCAGCATAAACATGGGCCCGTGCCTATCCTTACATGAAATTAGAACTCATAGATGTGCCATCTCAAGATATCCTGGTGATTCCTCGAAAAGACGAATTAACGTTTTCTCAATGCATATTTTTCACGAATTACTTTGCTTATTCAACAGCAAAATTTTTAAAAATAATGAAACCTGTGTGAATTCTTTACTATGCAAACTGCATCATATTTTTCAAATATTTTGCGTATCATACTACCAAATGCGTAACAAGAATGTCAGTTGATTGGTGCAAAATCATTTGGATGGCATTATGGATATGACAACTATTACAATACCTCACGGTTGAAAATTGCAAGTAAAATATAACGAGTATTTTTGCATCGTTGAAAAACACTCGATACTCATCATCGGGTGCCAATTTCATTCGAAAAAATACCGAACGCATACCGACTCTTCCGTGTTTTAAATATTCTAGGGGAATTTGTTATGACAGTATTGTTGATTGCAAGTATGAAAAGGGCCAGGATGGTTGCGACGTACCTGTATTGTTATCTAGTTCAAAGTATTTTAGATGTTTTTATCTAAAGTCTATTTCACCTTATATAAAGAGATAGATACTGTAAAAACACTTCAACATTTTTGTTCATTTATTTCTGAATCAATAACATGTATTAAATTACGTAATTATTTGATTATACAGTTTTCGAATTGCAATTTTGCTGTTTCATCGAATATAATTAAATATTATTCTCATAATACTGAAGCGCTTCTAGAAAATCTAAAGCAGAGCATAATATGATTCCATAATGGATAAGGTGGGAGTCTTTTGGCCCCTGATTCTGTTATGAAATAGAATGTGCATTACTGTACAGTGTAGTGAACTGTACACTACTTTTTATAGTTAATTGTTATGGAGTAAAGTACTCGTAGATAGTTAAGTTTGAAGTTGTGAGTGTAAACACTTCTAGAAGTCCCGAAAAGTTTATTTTTAAAGGTTACAAGTAAGATTGTTAGGTGATTCTCACAGTGGTACGTTCGGTAGCGAGTTGAAGTGCACACTGGTCTACAATTGAATGCCGCGACGGAATATCGTCCGATATGTATAGTCATCATAATAGAATAAGTTTAATTAACATAATTAGTGTACGTAAACCGTACATATTCTTAACCCGAGAAAAGTACCAAAACTATCAAAACGACCATATAAGAATCACCTGTACATAGCAAAGAATAGTTAAAAGTATAAGAAGAATAATACAACATACAATACAACTACTTAGTTAAAAGGTATAAGAAAATTACTTAGTGTGTTGTAACTACAACTTAAATTCTACATCCGAGGTAGGCTTCGAACGTGCACTGTTGACTGCGAGCGTCGCCTTCCCCTCATCTCGTGTCCTTGGACCGTGGCGCTCCATCATCGAGCGAGACCGGAACAATTTCTTCTTCCCGCTGGTTGCTTTGATGGACTGCATCTCGATGTCCTCAGTTATAACCGGATACTTGCTGAATTTCCCCAATTGTTTACAGTATCCACGTTTGTTTGCCACCCATATGGTTACTGCCACTCCCACAACACTAAGTAGAAAATAGGAGATGGCGTAATGATGTATGTCATGATTTGTAAACGTTGAGGTGGGAAGTTGTTCTTTACCCCTTTGATATCGCAGACGATCTTCGACCGTTGCTATGTCTTCGTTGTAGTTCAGTTTCAGTAGCGGTGTAGAGTGTGTGTTGACGATAGCATTAATAGTTTTATCCAGAGAAGGGATTTGAATGTCGTAATCCAGCTTGACGTTACTGTAGTAGTAATTATGAGAGTGTATTTTCAAATCTTTTGCCTGAAGAAGACATCCTTGTTTCAGCGACACTATAGATGACGTATTTATGACGTGCATTCTGACATCACCTTCGCACACAGTACGTATATTGCACGAGTCGCAACACGTCACTAACCAGGTGTTGGTAGTATATAATTCAATCCATGCAGTGACGCATTCGGTTTTCTTTGAAATACACGGTAACGTTGATTGATGTGCTAATAGTTTTGCTTCACAGGGTGCATTGACGTTTTGTAAATTGAATATAGGTAAGTTTAGAACACAGATGAAGTTATCTCTCTGCCTTTGGACGCATTGACTCAACTCCTTTTCATTAAATCTGGCGTAAGTATTCTTCTCCAAGTTTATAGCAATGTATTTCGATGACACAGAAACAGCTGTTGTGACGTTTGCATCATCTGGGTTCTTCATTGGTAAGGGAAATATTTCATAGATAACAAAGTCTTCGTCGCTCGCCAGAGGAATGTGAAGCTCATACAAGAAGTAACTGTCGGTAACTCGAGCCTTGACGTAGATTAATTCATAGATATCTTTTATTTCGTCTTGAATATTAGTTACAGGTAATGTTAATGTTTTGGATAACTGGCCGGAGATGATAGTGAGCTGCTGGATTAGGGTGGTGGGCGTAAGTAGGTGAACATCGATTCGACCCTTATAAGTATCAATCAGGGTGTTGAAAAGAGTTTCTTGAATGTTTTTCAAGTTTGATAGTAGTAAATGCGCCGCCAGCGATGCTGAAGTAAAATAGGTGGTTGCCATCGCTATTTCAATTGCTGACTCGATCTTCGCCATTTTTAGATCAGTCTCGTTCATAAATTTGTTGATAAGTGTAAATTGGTTATTGATGTTCTGTTCGTTCTTTTTCAAAATATCATTTTCAATCTCGACGATAGAGGTCTGGTTTCGCACGAGTTCTAGAAGATAGTCTTCATTTTTCTGTATGTTCTGAATATCCGTTTGATATTGTTGAGCAAATCTCTGATCCAGGATTCCAAAGAGACTGTTTGCAACGTAACCGATGCCGTCGATCAAACCCCGTTTGTTTCGTCCCGACAGATGTTTGTGTGGGGCGAGCAGTATCTTGTTGTAATGTTGTAGAATTTCCATTTCATGTGAAAGTTGTCGTATTGTAGTTTCACAATATCTTGGTTCCAAACTTTTACAAAATTCCAAAATGTCGTGTAAGTAGTTTTCATATTTTTGAACTCCGCTCCAGTACGTAGATAGATTATAGTACATCAGCAGTCTCCACTCGTTGTGAATCAGTTGTACTTTGCCAATAGTGTCGTAATATATAGGGCGATCATTGCCGAGACTTGTGATTTGAACACTTGAAGCGAAGGCATCCGATGGTATAGCGTTGCCATATATTCCAAACACCGAAGAAATAACAAGTAAAGTAGTAGTTAACATCTTGTAGGCTATTTTCGATTTAATAGTCTTGCCGATGTGTATTCTTGTAGGCTGATATGTTAGTAATGAAAATATTGTAATTTATTTGTAAGTTATTGTGTGGTTTCAACGGGCAATAGCGACAATTTCGCAATGGGTCGCTTCAATATGCTGGCTTGCGTTTTTACGGTTGCAACACGCACGTGTCCGTCGCTACCAGGATGGACTTCGATCACACGCCCGAGCGCCCACTTGCCAGGGGGAAGATTGTTGTCCTTGATTAAGACAATATCATCATTTTTGATGTTTGGCGTGGATTTTAGCCATTTGCTGCGTGCTTGCAAAGTTGTTAAATACTCCGAGGACCAGTGCCTCCAGAACTGATGGAACATGTTCTCAGTTAACTGCCATCTTTTTCGTAGGTCTAGATGCCGGTCATCTTCATAGTTTGAGAGAGGAAGAGTCATAGTTGGACTTCCTGTGAGAAAATGCCCAGGAGTCAAATAGTTGTAAAATTCGTCTGGGTCCTCTGTGAGTGGACAAAGCGGGCGGGAGTTCATGCACGCTTCTATTTTAGTTAACAACGTCGAAAACTCTTCAAAAGTAAGCTTTTGTTCCCCAAGTACTCGGCGTAAGTGATGCTTCATAGATCGCACAGCGGCCTCCCAAAGCCCACCTGCTGTTGGCCAAGCAGGAGCATTGAAGTGCCACTCTACTTTCATGTTACTCATTTTGTCAAAAAAGTCCGGCGACAATTCTGATTTAAATAGCTCGTAGTCGTTACGAAGTATCTTCGATGCACCAATGAAGTTGGTCCCGCAGTCAGAGTAAACGTGACTAGGTGTGCCACGTCTAGCACACATTCGTTGAAAAGCACTCAGGAAGGTTTCAGTGCTCAAGTCAGAAACGAGTTCGATGTGAACTGCCTTCGTTGCTAAGCACACAAAGATAGCTATGTATCCCTTCGATGTCTTAACGCCTCTCCCTTTGTTTAGTTTGATATCCACGTGACCCGTAAAGTCGACCCCTGTGTGAGTGAAGGGGCGTGATGGTGTTACGCGTGGAGTAGGAAGATCAGCCATGAGCTGGTAGTTTTCTTTCGTGCTAAACCTTTGGCAACGCACACATC